GGAGGGAGTTATATTATTTTAAATTGTATGTATTTTAGCTTTGTAAACCGCCTAGATTGGCTCGCCACCATGTGGTATATAAATAATAATAATAATAATGATAATAATGATAATAATAATAATAATTACTATTATTAACTCTTATGTTAAAAGGAATCATCCTGAGTAGAATGACAAAACACAAGACCTTAGTCCATCCTGGGAGAACCTAAAAGAAGCACTGACTCCCTCTATTTTCTCAGCACTCCTTTGAGAGGAACTGCCAAAGAGCCGCCCCTGCTGTTATATTCACATACAGGCATTCAAAAAAGCCAGAAGCAGTGCTATGGTGGAGAGGGTAGAAGGGGTCAGTGCTTCTTTTATGGTCTGCTGGGATGGGCTAAGGTCTCACCTTTTGCCATTCTATTTAGAGAAGGGAATAGTTCCTTTTTCGATAAGAGTTAAGGTACAGTATTTACATTGACCTATGGATAAGTTGACCCAGGGGGTTAATTTTTTGTCTAAAAATTCTAAACGTATACATGCGTATATACAGTATGTTATTGTTACCTATCTTCAGTGCCATTTGGTGCAAAAAAGCAAAATATATTTTTTCTTTAAAAAATTTTGGAAGGGTGGACAGTTGTGCCTAAAGAAAGTCCTGTGGAACTCTAGTAGCTTTCCTGCTATCAAAGTGTTCAAACATTTTTACAAATTAATTTTATAATTCTTGTGGCAGTTTTTTACACACATATTGCAAAATAACAAATCACAACCTGTTAGATGTCCACACTGCATAGACATATCAGCCCATTAGCTGATATTACAAGTTTTCATATTCCAAACTAAACTACTTATAATATTGATGTTTGTGGGTGTATGGTATTTGAATTCAAATTATGCTATTTAAAATATTGAGATATGTGTTGTTAGGCAAGCCTTGAAATATTAGCCAAATATAATCTCCAAACAGCAAGATACAAATTTGCAGCATCTGCTTTAAAAAGTGCATTATATTAATTAAATTTGAAAATAGTTACATGAACAGTCATTTCCTTTTGATGGAAATTCTGTTTGATTTTGTTGGATGGAAGCTAGATGTTGTAACCCCCACGTTGAATAGCACTAGTTAAATGTATGAAAAGAATGTGAAATTAGCCACTGGAAAATACATTTTCATTAAGAGGTGTCTGTTTTACTGATTGGTGTCTTTATTGTGTTAAAATTGAGGCTGGCCAAAAGTTTAGAGCCACCAGCCACATTGCAGACAAAATTCTAAGTCAGGATTTATTTACCTCATTTATTTATTTACCTTAACTGATTTCTATGAGTGTCTGGACCAGGGGTCCCCAAACTAAGGCCCGCGCGCTGGATCCGGCCTGTCGAGCCCTTCCTACTGGCCCACGGCCGGTCCTGCCGCCGCCTCCGCTCGTGCCCGCCGCCAGACGCCATTTTGGAACAAAAAGTCCGGGGACCCCTGGTCTGGACTCACATCAGTCAACAAATGATAGCTTTATTTATTTATTTTGGTAATGAATTGTGGTTTGAGTTGATTCCGGAACCCTGACTTGTTTTAATCATAGTTTCTCATTATATCTGTACTAGGAATCATGGCTTATTCCTAGTTTGTTTCTATGTCCCATCCAACCTTCACAAAATATGATTCGAGAGTAGCTTAAAAAAAAAAAAACAAGTTCTCAGACAAAACTGCTTTCACTGTCCCCCTCCAAATTCTCCATCCCTTTTCATC